GCTCAGGGTGCCGGACCCTTCGTTTAGGGCACCGCAGATGCCACGCGCCCTACTAGATTACGTGCCACTGGTTCTCAACCTTGCTTGATACACAGTATACTTCTAGTAAATGCATATTTACCTCACGTAGCGAATACACGAGTTAGCCCCCCACCAGTTATTGGACCTGCTCGCAATCGAGTATCCGAGTTATAATCTCTACCTGGGAATTGACGATATCTCACAGTTAGCAATCAGCGTCATCAGCAGCGAGATTCAAAATGTATAAGAATGCGTAGAACAATTGTGAAATTTATAATTCGCAAAAATATATAAAATACTCGATGAAGAGTATCCTATATCTATTTAAGTTCTATTTACGAAATTTTTATTTTATCTAAGTTCCAGAACCAGTCAGGAAATAAAATGTAATAAAGTAATATGAAAATAACACGAATAAGAATTAAATGACTAAGATGAAATACCGAAAAAAATATGATGCAAAAGTGATAGAAACCTCAATCTCCTCCATTTTCAGCTAGATTGCAACTAAGGACGTACGTACGATGAACAGTCTTCATGGTGTTTTTCTATTATATACGACGTAGAATTGTCAAGGGATAGTGAGAACCGCTTGCACAAGGGAAGCAACCCTCCCTTTTCGGAGACCTTCCTTTATTCATCCCCTAATGTAGGACCGACCAGCGCGCGCGTAGATTCTCTCCTCGCTCGGGACGACCAGAAAGAGAGTATATAGGCTAGTGTATTTATCGTGAAAGTTGTACATGCACCATATATATATAATATACACACACACACGTTTATATAAAGGATACGCAGGATATATACTACTCGCTCTTGTGTACGTGAATATGTGGCGTGCGTGTAAGCGCGCGATGCATTTATTGCGCGCTTGTGCGTGCCGCATACAAACTCCCATGGGCGCGTACCGACCACTCGTATTTTCGCGGTTGCAAATGTTGCACAGCGTGCCACGGAACTAGGTCAACAATCGCGGGGCTATTCTTCGGGGGGGCGACGGTTTTCGCTTAGCCGCCATGCCGATTTTTTTCTCCTTTTTTTTTTTTTTTTTTTTTTGGAAAGTCTTTTGGGAAAATTTGAGACGCGGATTAAGAGCTTGAGTTATTTTCCTGTTTAGTTGAAACAAAAAAAAAGGAAAGAGAAGAGAAAGAAAATTTCGTAGTGTTTATATGTATTTGAAAACTTTTGTTGGAACTTTTAATTTCTAATTTAATATAATATTAAATATTAATTGAACTCTGTATTTGTTTTAAATAAATAAATAACCTGAGGAATCACAGCAGTACAGAAATTATCAATTCTGTTCAATATTTTTAATATTCATGTATAAATATGTAAATTCTTATGTGTTTTGTATTTCATTTCAATTGCTATCTTCATGCAAGTTTTTACATTTTAACACGGACCTATATATGAATATAACGTTTAAGATTATGCATGTACATGTCTTGAAATTGTACGTGTATTGTCACAAATATATATACATTATTGCAATATTCAATTGTACTTGCGGCAAAATTTGCATTTGGAGGGTGATGGACAGATGAGAGAGAATAGATCGTCATCTATTGCTACAGACATGCATCAAGGGTAGTTTTCACCCCTTATCCCTTTGTGCGACTCTCTTTATTATCAATGAATCAAACACGTGGCTCAGATATATGACGTTGCTCTTGCACGATCACGCAGGATAATGCTTATTCATCATGTTTTTGGACGATCTGCAG